TCTGTGAGGGCTTTTCAACAAACAAGCAAATGTGATAATGGCAGAAAATGAGAGGCTTTTCCTGGCTGGATATGGATGAGAGGTTTCAAAGGGAGAAATTCTGCTCTCAGGATACACTCACAGTATTTTCATAAGGATTTGTCCTTCAGAGATGGATTATACAACTTTTCTTATTACAGGAATGGGAAGATTAAAGATCCCTAACGCTCTGTACCTTTGAGTTGTCGTAATAAATGTGCCAGGAATCTGGGGAGATTTCCAAAATGCATTTTAATCCATAGTAGGCTGGATGTTGTGCACTGTAAGCAATTTTCATTGTTAGATGGAAGTAAATATAAATTACTGAAGAATCTGAAAATCCTGTTCCACCCAGCAGCTCACAGAGCATTTCAATCCTCTGTACACAGGCATTTGGAAGGGAGGAAGGCAAAAAAGCTGTGACAAACCACCACTTAATGACACATTTGCCAAATGGAGCTGGTGGTTTGCATGCACAAAAGCTCTTCCTGCACCTCCTGAAGTGCACAAACAGCTTTTCACTATGCAAACCACCTCTGCAGGATGTCCACACCTCTATCCAGGATGGTGCAAGGGCAGGGAGAGATGGAAAATTCACATTTGCAATCGAAAAGGCCAAGCTGAGGTCTCTTTCAAAGTTAGTTTGCAGCTCCTCATTTAAATACATATTTTATATTTATATTTTTATAGATTTAAATGCATTAAAGAGAAACCATTGGGAGCTAATCTCTCTCCCCTGCCCCAAATCCTTATTTCAGGCTCTCCCAACTGTGTTAGATGTGAAAGGTCTGAGCAGGGAGCGTTATCAGAGCGAGTGCAGTGCCCAGGGGATGAGTCATGGAGCAGATCCCATTCCTGCCTGTGGACAGAGCACTTGGAACACAAAAGGCTGGGAGGAGGAGGAGGAGGGACAGCACTGCAGCAGCCCCCAGCTCCTGGGAGGCTGGAGGTGGAGCTGGCGGGTGAGAACTGCAGGAATTGTTTCCATCACATGGTTAATGACTCAGCAGCCTTAGCCCAAAATATTTATTTTTTCTCCTCTCCACCAGCTAAAGAATGGGGGCACTGGGAGAGGGGAGGGAGGCTGGGGCTTTGCTGGGTGAGCATCACACGGATTTTCCACTCTGGATTTGCCATCTCTCCAGGCTTGGAACACCTGGGCTGCCACAGAGAGATTCCAGCTGGATTCCGTGCCCAGAACTGTCTGGAGTTTTGGGCACCTCAACATAAAACAGGTCTAAAGCTCTTGGGGAGTGTCCAAAGGAGGGACAGGAGGATGGAGAAGGGGCTGGTTTGGACAATGAGGGATGCACAGGGATTGCTCAGATGTCTGTGCAGGGCCAGGGTTCGGATCAGTGATCCCTGTGGGTCCTTCCAGCTCAGGAGATTCCAGGATTCCAAGCTTGGATCGAGGCCTTCAGTCAATAAATGCACCCTCCTCTTCCCCAGCACAAGGAATTTGAACCCCCAGGAGCTGTCCTGGAACCCCAGCAGCGATGAGGGTGCAAAGCAAGCCCTGACCACTGCATCCAACATTCCCAAGCTCTGCCTTTTCCAGCCCTGGGAGCTGCCAGGAGAGGAGGAATGGCCGGGAGGGGAGTGGGAGGAAGCCTCATCCTCTCAGGCCATGCTGAGGCTGCTGCTGAGCTTGCTGTTTCTCCTGCTCCCACAAGAAGAAGTGAGAGGATTTGGAGTTTTACTTTAAGCTGAGCTCAAGCACAGCCAGGGCTGGCTCATGTACAGCCCCTGGACACTCTGCCCCTCCCTGGTGTGGGTTATGTCACCGTGGCCCCAAATCCCTCCACTCCCAGCCCGGCTTCCACACAGAACTTCTGCAGGGCGCTCACCTCCCGTATTTTCTTGCTGTTGGAGAAGTGTTAATGTGGAGTTTGGTGCCAGTCTGGCCCTCTGGCTTCTGTCCCCAGCATTCCTAAAGACACCCACAGCCCTGAACAGCAGCTTGCTGAAGCCTCCCACCGGCCACATGGCACAAGAGCTCCGGGCTGGAAGGTCACGTATTCCTTCCCTCGTGTTCCTTCCCAATTTGGGGAAGCCCTGCCCTGTGAGGACACTCAGCTGCCTGCACTGTCCCTCCAGGGATGGGCACTGCAAAGCTCCCTGGGCAGCCCCTGCCAAGGCCTGAGCTCCCTTTCCATGGGCAAATTCCTGCTGCTGCCCACCCTGAGCCTCCCCTGGCCCAGCCTGAGGCCTGAGCTCTCCTCCTGTCCCTGTTCCCTGGCAGCAGAGCCCGACCCCCGCGGCTGTCCCCTCCTGCCAGGGACTTGTGCAGAGCCACAAGGGCCCCCTGAGCCTCCTTTGCTCCAGGCTCAGCCCCTTTCCCAGCTCCCTCAGCCCCTCCTGGGGCTCCAGACCCTTCCCAGCTCCGTTCCCTGCCCTGGACACGCTCCAGCCCCTCCAGGGCTCTCCTGCACCAGCCACAACTGGAGCCAGCCCTCGAGGGGCCTCTCAGAGCCAGCACAGAGGGACAATCCCTGCCCTGCTGAGGACACACATCTGACACCAGAAATGCCCCGCTGGCTCTTTTTTAGGTGCCAAGAGCTGCCTGAGAGCACAGTCTGCTCCCAGCAGGACCTCGCAGGGAGGAGCAGAGTCTGGCTGGGCCCTGAGGCTGCAGGAAGGGTCACCACTTCTCACTCAGCATCTCCACCATCTGTGCTGCCCTGGCCTCTTAATCAGGGGGCAGCCAACACCACAGTCCAGCTCTTAATTTAGACCCCAAATGTTAGTTATGAGTTCATCCTCCCAGATGGACTCGGTCCCAGGAATCTCTGCTATCAAAGACCTGTGAAAGCCTCGTTTTTACAAACTGAGATGAATCAATGGCTCCCCTGTGTTCCCTATTCCCTGCTTGTAGCCAGTTGCTCCATAGCTCAGGTGCACATTTGAGCAGTTGGAAGAGCCCCTTTGAACTCACAGCCAGGCTGGGACCAGGTAAGAAGATTTAAATTTGCTGAAGTTCCCCACTTTCAGTCACGTTGCCATCAAACAGAAACATCCCAGAGAGACTAAAACCACAATGAGGCAAATGAATTGACACAATCCTGGAATCATCAGGGTGGGAAGAGCCCTTCAGGCTCATCTCCTGCACCACCAGCATCACCCCAAACCCTGTCCCTAAGTGTCACTTCCCTGATGAGGGGTTTTGATCATTGCAGGCATTTCCAAGAAGGAAAGTGAGAAGTTCCAGGAGCAGCAGCCACACTGCAGCCCTTTGAGCAGGGTTCACTCCAGCCTGGATTTCTGCTGTGTGGGTGACACTCTGAGGACTCCTTTGGTCCAAAATTTAAATCCCAGGTGTCTCAGAGAACCATGGAATGGATTGGGTTGGGAAGGACCTCAAATCCCACCCAGTGCCAGCCCTGCCATGGCAGGGACACCTCCCACTGTCCCAGCTGCTCCCAGCCCCAGTGTCCAGCCTGGCCTTGGGCACTGCCAGGGATCCAGGGGCAGCCCCAGCTGCTCTGGCAATTCCATCCCAGCCCCTGCCCACCCTGCCAGGGAACAATTCCTGCCCCAGATCCCAAGATCCAGCCCTGCCCTCTGCCCCTGACAGCCATTCCCTGTGTCCTGTCCTAGGATTTGTGGTGGAATTTGAGTTGTCTGGGAATCGCTGGATGAATTGTCCATTTTCCAGCCTCCATCCATTCCATCCTCTACCTGAACATGACCCCTCAGGAATGAGGCATCCTAAACCCCAGTTCACTCCTGGAAAGACAATCCCAGGCTGGGGAATGCTGAGGAGCAGAACCTGGTGAGTCCTGTCGTGAAGGACGACGCTCACACAGACCCGGTGGCTCCGACCACAGCAGTTGTAACAAAGCTGTGCAGAACAACCAGATTCTGATTTTTTATGAATCAAATTGGAGGAAGTGAAAAGGAGGAACTTATCAATTACATGAGGAAGGGATTTGTCCTCCCTTTAACCCAAAGTTCTGGAGCGTGTGAAAGATTAGCAGGAGGGGTTGCCATGGGCCATTTGCTGCAACCCTCTCTGGAAACTTCCTGAAATAAAAAAAAAACACATTGCAGCTCCTGGGTAGGAGCCTTGGGGCACATGAGAACATAACCAAAGAATAATTGACCGCAAACATGAGCTACGTGCAGAAATGAGACTGCTCAGTGCTTTATTGACTCGAGGAGAAGAGGTTCTGAAATTCTCCTGCATTTGTTAAGCGGCACCTCCCGGAGACCTCAGAGATCTCATTATTATTTCCTGCTCCAAGCATAAAACTCAGGGGTGTTTTATGGATAAAATTACCTGGCAGCTAGGTCTAAAAGATGCTTTACCTGCAGCACCCTCTTTTCAGAGAATTAACCCTGACCACAGTGAAATGAAGAAGAAATTCATGCATTAAAATTCCTTGGAAAAGAAATGGCAGAGCTTGTATTAACAAGCCCAGTGGAGCCCAGGGAAATGGGAAAGCTGCTCCCAGCCTTACAAGATCAGACACAACAGGTTGCTGATTTAACAAGCTGCACTAATGCAGGATTTCTTGGCTGGTTTTCCCCCTTAAGGAGGAATTTTCCCCAGTTTTAATTCCTCGCTAATTTCGAAGCCTCGCACTCATTTTGCTGGATTTTCCACACTCTCATTCCCGAGGTATTTATTTATTTGTGTGTGACCAATCCATTGTCACAGTGTACAGGATTCTGAACACCCCCAGCATGGATTACAGGAGTTTTGGCTCTTAGAATGCACAGGAGAGGTTGAGGGAGCTGGGGTTGCTCAGCCTGGAGAGGAGTCCCAGCTGAGAGGGGCCTCAGCCCTGGCTGACCCTGGGTGTCCCTGGGGTGTCCCTGGCTGTCCCTGTCCATCCCTGTCCATCCCTGCCTGTCCCTGGGGTGTCCCTGTCCGTCCCTGTCCATCCCTGGCCATCCCTGTCCGTCCCTGGGTGCAGGAGGGGCAGAGCAGGCCCAGGCTCTGCTCCAGGCCCAGCAATGGCACCAGAGCCACGGGCAGGGGCTGAGCCCAGCAATTCCCCCTGCACAGGAGCACAACTTGTGCCCTGGGCAGTGCCCAGAGAGGGGCTGGAGTCTCCTCCTGGGGATATTCCACAATATCCACAATCCGTGCCCTGAGGTGGCACCGGGTGAGCTCTGTGGGCCCTTCCAGCCTGAGCCATCCCAGGGTTCTGCACCTTTCCAGAACAAGGGGACAACTTGTGACCACTGACGTGGCCCAAGGTCAGTGCCAAAGTTCTCCAGGGGTGAAGCTGCTTGGGAATGGCTCTGGTTTGCCGGTGGGGGCAG